GCTTTAAGGAAAAGGGATCTTGGGACGAATATCCAAAAATCCTACCCCTAACATAATTAATCCCACTTGCTTCTGCTGGGAATCAAACTAGACTCTAGACCTCCTGAAACTCCCAAAAGTAATAACCATGTTTTCAGAAAGTAAAAGTCCTGACATGATATCCTAAAATTAGAGCCTGTAGAGCTATATGCATCTTTCTAATAATGTTTTCTAGGTTTGCTTAAAGAAATATACTTACTATATCAACCTAAATTTCATCAGTACGTCTCCAACTATTAAATTACCAGTGATCTTCACATTGGACAAATCCATGTTATCTACCTGTAAAGCATAAAACCTACCTAGCATCCGGACCATGGTCCGTGGCTAACGCAGGGGTGGAGATTTTTGGGGGGCAAGAATTTGAAAAGATGCATACTTGGAAGAAGAACCTTGTACATTTTCTTCAAATTTCAGGCATGACTACGTCTAACTTTGAAATAATATAGTAACAGAGAGTTCAAAAATTTTCAAAGGAAACATCCAAGTTTTCAAGGGCAAGTGAAGCTGAGCTATTCTCTCATCTTGCAATTGTATGCACCGATAGTCCACGTCCAAAATCAATAATTTTACATACTACAGTAGCTAAAAAGATTGCACTTTTTTTATTTTTCTACAAGAAATTCTCCATTTCTCTTAGCAATACTCAAAATTTTCCAAAATCTACTAACAAATACCAAAAAAAAATCCTCAAAAAAGTTCAATTATGTCGAGACTAGAACTTACCTTAATAGAAACCGTGGAAGAATTCATCTTCAAGTACTTGACCTTAATTCCAGCGGCCCGACCCGGATCTCGAATCCGATAGAGCATCCAAGAGTTGAAGATGAAAAACACAAGCACCAATAGGGCCAACCCGGCTATCCCTCTCCTCTGACACCACCCTCTCCATCTCTTGCTTTTCCGTCTAGACCCATGTGAGAACCGGGTCGCAGATATCGATTCGACTGAACCATTGGAGGTTAATGATGACGTGCTCTGGCTTACGGACTTTCGGAGGTTACCAGAAGTGGAAGCATCGGGTTGCGGGTCTTTAATCATATCCTCTTCATTTAAATCCGAGGAGCCGGAGAAATCATCATTATTACTACGGAACATTTCACTCCCCAAAAAAATAAAGAATTTAAGACTTTCCCGAGTGGGATTTTCGTTCTTTTGTTTTTTTGTGAGAATTTAATGCTTTTGTTAGAGTTTCATTGGATAACCTCTTTCTCTTTTTTCTTATTATTCGAAAAAATGGATTTTTGAAGTTGAAAGTTTAGGACAAGGAAAGCGAAAGAAGCGTGAGGAAGTCAGGGGAGGAGACGAAGGCCGAAGCCTCAGGCAAAGGAGAAGCCAGTATAATTTATAAGGCGCGAGATGGTGACGTGGGCAAGTGTGCGAACTGGATAAGGTGACTGACCGGTTACGGACTCGGTCCTCAGCTCCTCGGACATTTTTTTTTTTTTTTTTTTAGGAATCTTGTTGAAGTACTTGGATAACTACTAGTACCATGGTTATCAAAGAAGCAAAATCGATCCGGATCGCACTTAGAATCGCAAATTACATGAATCGAGCATAGGATCGCGTAGGATCGTACAGAATCGTACGATCCTACGATCCTACAAAATTTTGCTAATATGCGAAATATGATATTCCATTTTGCAAGTAAATGAAAATATTTGGGGTAGGGTTATAATTTATCAAAGAATTGAGCCTTTAATTGCAACGTTTTAATAATTTTTGCCCAAAAAGTCAAAGAAAGCACCGAATTCTTCTCCTTTCCTCGGTCGGTCAATCGGTCAGCCCTTTGGGCTTTGTCTCCTTTCCTTTGTAATGTTTCTTTTAATCTTTTCTTCATTCTCCAGCCTGCACTTTTCTTTTCTTCTCTACCGCTGCCCAGAACCCTAGATTTATCCATCAAACCACCATTGCTGCAACTCTTACGCCTACCAACAAGACTAAATCGCTGCAAGCCTGCGGCTTCTACCAAGGAGGCAAGGACCAACAAGCTATTGCTTCAAGCTTCAAGCTCCAGCACCCGTTGGCCGTTGCTTCAAGGCATCAAGCCACGAAATCCTCTGTTGCCGCCGGATTTTGGCCATTTAAAGCTTCAAAGCTTCAAGATCCAGCACCCATTTTCCTCCAGTTTCCGTGCTGCCACCACACTGAAGCTCCGCACCAGCACTTCAATTAAAGTCACATGTGAGTCTGTTATTTTCTTGCTTGAAAATTGATATTTGGTGGAGGTGGTGATTGATGAAGTTGTGATTTTTATTTGGATTTCTTGTATTTGAACATATATTGCCTTTGATTGAATTGAGTTGAAAGGAATTATACAAAATTCTCGGGCTTCTGCAGGTGCAAACAAGAACTTGAGAATCTGAGATACCCTTCTCTTTATTTGCATAGAAAATTGAGAAACAACGGGAAGAATTTGATTATGAAGTTGGTTCTGTGATTCAATGCTTTTGCTTAAAATTGCGCTTAACTGCTAGAGCTACTATTTTTAAGGTTTTGGATTTTCGGTTCTGTTTTGACAATTTCCGCAGTGCAATAAAAAAATCAAATTGTTATCACATAAAAGGGCACAATAGTAGTTGCGAGTATGTCAAATTGTAGCATATGCTTATGCTAATCTTTGGGGCCGTTCAGATTTTACTGCTGCTGTTATGTCCTTCACTTATGCTTTCATTGGATTGGCACTTGGCCTTGCAAAAACCATTGGTAATAGGACTGAATTTCTTTATAGCTGAAGAGGTGATATTTCTGCATTAGTTTTCCGAGTTGAGTGTTTATTTGGCTTCTTGAATGTCTGAAAGTTCAATTACTTTGTTGATTATAAGGGAATTTGGGATGAAAGTAAAGTAGCCTCCTTTGCTAGCTCACTGGTTTGGCTTTATTTTTTTCGAATCAAACTACCTGCTAGCTGACTGGTTTTTGGTAACTTTCATTGTTATTGTTTGTTTATTTAGATGATCATCAAGATCGTGAAACCCATGTCCGTCGAAGACAAGTTAATAAAATGAAAGAGATTCATGTTATTGATGAGGATGATGGGCCTTCAACTGAATTCGACCGCCAAGATGATGATTATCTTGATATGGTTCTCGAAAATGATGTTCAAATGGGAACTAATGATTTGGATGATACTAATTTGGATGGTGATGAAGATAATGCCGAAGATGAATTCCAAGAGAATTGGCATGGTGAAGATGATTGGGAAAATAATGATTTTGATAATGTGGATTATGGGAATAATGAATTTGATTCAAACGATGAAAATGATTGGTTATAAATTATTGTATTTCTAAATTATTATGATACTTGAAAATGATGAATTGTTGCTATTTTTTTTTTTCATGTTTGTTTAAACTTGACAGATGACATTCTAGTAGTTAATTTTGATCTTGAAAATCTTTTTGGATGTTTGGCTTTTTAGTATTTGTGAAGGTATTTGTAACTTTATATTTGAAATTATGATTATGTAAACTGTGAAGCATTTGGTTTTAAGACTTGAAATCATGACAGATAACAGATTTATATTCTCTTCTTTATTACTTGTTAGATAACAGGTTTATATTCTCTTCTTTATAACAGGTTTATATCTTTTAGGATATACAAAATGGTATATGAATTTCAAATTCATTAATTTAGTAAATTTAGGAGTTTTTGGTGGGATCTTACGATCCTACGATCCGATTCTGTGAAACTAAAATCGATCCGACGTGGGATCCCGATTTTACAAACCTTGACTAGTACTAAGGTAAACGAACTAATGAGCTCAAAATAGAGAAAAACATAACATAGTTCATGCTCTTTTAATTTGCCTATTTTAAACAGAATTAGGGCTTACAAGTTGAGTTTTGTACACTTTAAATATTGACTGATATAATTCTTATAACATTTGACGTAAATTTATACTATTTAAGTGTAAATTTGAATTTCTTAATACATACAAGTGAATTGGTGTAAAATTCCCGATTGCACTAAAACTCTATGAGTTTATACCTAATGTAGTAAGAATCACATGAAACTAGTCCATTTTGGACATAATTCAACTTGTGAGGGTCGGATCCATCATAAACTTGCTACAAAATTAGGTTGGAGAGGTGAATCAGTTTAAATTGCAAACAAGTCAACGAAAAATAAGTCAAATAGAAAGAAGCTGTATACTCTACTACTCTCTTGATTTTAGTTTGACGTTACACTTATTACTGTTTCCTCAATCTGACTTTGAAAATTAGAATTTGGTTACAAGCATAGGGTGAAAAAATGGTGTAAGGTTGGCCAGGTGAAGTTACTCCAAATGGCAGGAAACTAGGATTAAAATGTTGTGGATTTTTTGAACAAATGACAGAAAGAATAGTAAAGTGAGATCACCGACGTGTTGGTCGATTGTCATCATTTCCCAATCCCTCATCGGTAAGTTTGGGATCACGAAATTCAATTCCAACTTTATAACAAAAAGTTGCATTAATGGATTGTTGAAAATTATCTAACACGAGTTGATTTATACAAAAATCTAATTTAACAGATATAATAGATTTAAAAAATTATGAACGGATCTTTTAATAAAATAAATCGTTGTAGCTCCATTTCTTTTCGTATATGTTGCAATTGCCAGATTTGGTAATTAATGATTTTAACTCTGCTAGTAACGATGAGATCTGTCGCAATAGATTTGGTAATTCCAACTTTGTCAAGATGCTTTGTCATTTTAGCAAGGGGATTATTTTACATTTTCTACAGTTCTACAGTCACATGCACAAGTTGGAACTGCCAAGCTGTATCCATGTCCGTAATTCCCATGCAAACACGTTTGGTCCAGCCTGTTCAAATTCAGATCTAAAACATCAGGCAATCTTACACTCGAAGCTCCACAGGGAATGCTCACGCATTCAACCGTTTCTTGTTATATTATACTACTATTACAAGAATTTATTAATTATATAACTGCAAAATAATAATAATAATAATAATGAAAAGAAAAGTGGCATCATTGCAATAAATCAACAGCAGTTTCACAATCCTGTAGACTGTTGACGTTACAATGCATGAATCAGATGAAGCTAAGAAAAGTCGTTGCATTCTGAGTAAGGCACAAATTCTTGCTGTGCCAAAACAAGCACAGCACGAGGCAGATTGACCATTGAAGCAATGGGTTATTGGTGGCAGTACCAAGTTTTTGGGAACAACTTACAAGAACTGAAGAAGGGGTTGGACCACTTTACATGACCGTGATTTGTGAAGGAAAATGTGTAGATTTTGACTCCCCCTCATCATTTCTCATAAATCCCTTTGCGTACCGGCGGATGGGATACACGTATTTATATCTTGGAAGAAGAACAATAATATACACAGTAAGTCATGACCATGAGTACAAGAATGGTGGATGAACTGATTCATCGATTAAAATGTGAAATATGTGCCTCAAAATGGAAGGACAAAGATGTGAACTTCGTATGAATCTGTTCGGGCATTTTTCTTTTGTACCTGCCAATAATCAGCTGGTCTGTTTTGCACTTTTTACACAGTTCACCTCTGCCTGGGTGTGTATACAAAATTGCAAAGGCTGGATACAGCTCCGCGATGCCGGGAAACAAAGAGGGCCATTACGAAAAGTCAATTGTTTCATGATCTGGAGTCCTGTATGCAAAACTAGACTCATCGCTAGATCGCCTTTTCACTACACTTGCCCTTTGCATTAACCTTACCAGAGCTTGCACCACTTCAGACATGGGAGGCCGAAATTCAGGTTCAGGCTGAAAGGAAACAACAAAAAAGCACCGTTCTATTACTTGTGTACATATCGTATCGTCATAACGAGAATTAATGCATTGTACAACATGGTGCCCCGAAGCTAGTCCCACAGGCACCAATAATCAACAAAGGCAGAAATCATAGCTACCGACACAAGGTATGCGTTACACGATTTACACAGTTAGTTTAAATATATTACTCTACTATGTTTCCCATGATATCTTTAGTAATCGCTTACTTCTTACTTAGTTGTATTCAACTGTGCTATCTCTCTACAGAAAAAGAAAGTTGATTCAGTTATTGTGCTTAATTACATCATGAGTGCCCTCGTGCCCAACGTGTGATTGTCATTAACACAATAACCATAATGGAAATTCCTCCTTGAATAACACTGTACCTGAACACAAAGTGCAATTATATCAGCAAAACGAGACAAAGACTTTGCAGGATACATCCCATTAAGAGCAGGATCCACCATTTTGGCCAAGGCATCTATATCATGAAGTTGAGGAGTGGCCCATCTCACAAGTGACTGTTCTGTTCTTGGTCTTGAACTGTAATACAATAAAAGTGCACAGTGAAGGGAAAGAAAAGAAAATCTGAGCACAAGAAGGAAAGCCAAGGAGTGGAGTAATCATCAGAGAATGGAAATGAGGTCATTCAGGATGAAAAACCAAGGACTGCAGAAATCACCAGAGGATGGAAATGAGGTTATTGTTTTCTGAAGGATCAAGTTTACCTATCAAGTGGCTTTCGACCTGTCAGGAGCTCCAGCATTACCACACCAAAACTGTACACATCACTCTTAATAGTGTATATTCCAGATAAGGCAAACTCAGGAGCACTGTAACCAAATGAACCAACCATTTGGGTCGATGAAACCTATTGAACATTGCAGTGACAAAATTTGTTACATCTCTGGTGTATTCTAAAAAATTATCCGGACAAAAGTCATCATATAGCTGAAAATGTTTTTGCTGCTTGGAGAAAAGGAGGAGCTGAATAATAACAGACAGAAAGTCAGAAAAGAATACATTCATAATAGGTAAAATTAATTAGCAAGACATGAAGAACAAACGGAAAGTCTTCAACTGCTTGTGCCCAAACAAGTAAACATAACGTCCAAAGAAACAAAAACCACCCTCCATTTTAACTTCCTTTGCCACTGTGCTTTCAATAAGTGAAATAGGCAAAGGCAACTCACTTTTCTAACTGGATTGGTTTTCACATTCTTAATCCCAAACCCTGCTCCCAACCAGACACCCATCCCCCAAAAATGAAAAGAAAAGAGAAAACACAACAGGCCACTAAGTAATGTTACAAGAATGGATAGATGACTATCCTACACAGGATGTCATGGATGAAAACTCTGAAAAGGACCCAGTACTTTGACTGGAACATCTGCATCGTTTAATCCAAGGATTACCTGTCGTTCTGTATTTGGTGTCAAAGCAGCCAGCCCACAGTCGACAAGTGAGGAGTGAGCTCTTCATCTAATAATATATTTGCTGACTTCAAGTTTCTATGTACAACAGAAGGCAGACACACTTCGTGCAAGTACCTAAATAAAAGCGGAACAGTTTACGAAAGGCCCTCAGCACATAAATCGTTTTTAGTGAGAGCAAGTGCATGCTTGTTCACTTTTTTTTTTTTATTTTTATAAATGCGAGTGCATATCTGAAAGATTAATTTCATGAAGCAGATAACATACTCTAGAGCTCGAGCGGTGCCCAGTGCTACTTTGACTCGTGCATTCCATGTCAGCATCTTACTTCGCTCATCAGCAAAGTGCAGCATATCATGCAAGCTACCATTTCCAATATAATCATAAACCAGAAGACGCTGCCCATGTTCTGCACAATATCCTGCCAACTGAACTATGTTTGGATGCCTCAGGCGCGACATATTGGAGACGGCTTCAAGAAAATTATCTTCCTCCTGCAGTGACAATGCTGCATTGTAGTATGATGCAATAGGTATCTACTTATTTACATGTCTACTTGACTTCAAGGAAGCAATCCTTTTTTTCCTTTCTTGTTAGATCTGAAAATCATCAGTTGTTTCTTATTGTATAACTGCTAGATTCATATGAAGATTCTTACAGTTGCTGCTAGCCTAGCTATGCTTTAGTTCACAGAAATTTTATCCGCAAAAGGTCTCATACAATGATGAACCAAATTGGTAGAAGTGTAAATGCAAGACTGATTGCCTGCTGAAATATAAAAGATAAAACTGGGACTAAGAATACATTTTCAGGATTTGAGTAGATACTGTAGTGACTGACTGAGTAAAACACAAATTAAGAAGATCTAGAATGTCCAGTATTTACCTGGGAGTACACCTATGAGGCAAGCAAAATTACACCATTCCGGGGAAAAGAGGAGGAAGGCAGAAAACTGGAATGATTGTGTCTTGTGGCATTCCTGAAGTATAGTTTAGACTGAGCTTAAGAAATAGTATATCAGTTCAGAAACAATATGGGGTTTGGGGCCTTTAATTTTCACTAATAAATTAATGAAATTTTTTATAAAATAATTTAGTTGATTTTTGTCAGGGTTTGGTCTAAGGTGATGGAGTACAGGAGATGTCAACTTATGACTTGTTTTGTATCATGCTTAATCTGGATTTAAAATGTTCATCCAGTCTAATAACTGAGCATAATTCAGGTGAACCCCTCATATTCATAGAAGTTGCATTAATGAAGGATGTGGCCGAGACGATTCAGGTGAATAGTTTTGCTGTGGAGTGTTGAAAGGATTCAGGAAAAGGAACAATCTTTATTTCTTGAGACTGTTTCTTTAACGAGCTAGAAACTACTATGTATAGTTATTAATGAAATTATTCATCTTAGGAAGTTCTATGGGACGATCCTCCAATACCTGAATGTGAAGCAACCTGTGCACTCTTTTACTCTATATCATCTACCCAGGTTAGAATTTTTATCTTACGGGTTTTTTACAGCATTACTTTCTGATTATTCGTGGATGGTATTTTTGTTGCTGACCTGACCACTTATATTTGACTGATCTTTTGCCAATAATTTATGATGACCATTTTGCTTTTTGTTGTAATAAAATGGTGAGATTTCGCTCATCTTCTATATGGGATTATTAATATGCATCCTTTTGTGTGCTCATCATAATTTTCTTTTTCTTGGTAATTGATTAATTTGTAGATAAACCATATGTTATTCCCCTCTGTGGCCCAGTGTGAGCATCCCAGCTCTCTCTTCTTGACAGAAACAAATTGCTTGAACTATTCTTATACTACTTATTCTTTTCCTTTTCTCTGATCAGAAATTCATTGGGTCAGTGCTGCAAATTCTGCAGAAAGAAAGGAAAAAGCAGATGCTTCAAAGCACTAAGCTTCCTCCTATTGTTGAAATTTTGCCCAAAGTGTAATTTCATGGGAAAGCTTCATAAATTGATAAACTTAGTCAAGAACAAAGGACCACCCTTACCTGTTAAATATACTTGCTCAAGCTGCACTGTTTTTAATTTTTTTCTTCTATTGCCCCCTCCCACCATACAAGGGGATACTCTGGCTTTATCTCTCCTCTTCCTTTCCCTCCCTCCTTCCTTGTTCCCCTCTTCTCAGCTGCCTTAGCTTATACTAAGTTGTACCTTTCTCTTTAACTGCAGCCTGGCTTATCCGGAATCAACCTTGGGAAATTCCTTATTAAACGTGTAATTGATGTTGTGAAGAAGGATATGCCGATTATATCTGTAAGTTCTTCTCTGTTTATGGACATTTGTCACTTCTCGGTGTTGTAGTTATGAGTTATGTGTTAGAGAAAATGGCGTAAATGGTCACTGAATCATTTAAGATTCCCTGTTTTAGTCACTTGACTTTTCTTTAGTCACAATGGTCACTTAACTAATAAAAATGTACGTTTTTGGACCAAATATGTATGTTTTGATCAATTGAGTTTTAAATAGTTCTGTGACCATTTGGTGCGGGTGGAGAAGCTAACTTCTTGTGGATAATAATTCTTTGCCTCTGTAAGTTGGTTTTTTCATGGATTGAGTACAGGATATCACTATTCTCCAACTTTTTGGGTTTTAAATCCATTATAGCCTTCAAGTACTTTGCTCTTGTCTAGTAATTTATCTTACAGCTTTAAGAATTATGAAGTTGTAATTTGTAGAGCCACAATTGGTCAGAAATTTGGTTTTGTGTCTGGGTTTTGCATAATGATGATGACAAAGTGAGTGGGACTTTTCAACTTGTTTTTATAAGTAAAGCAGTTCAGATTGCATTCAGATTTACTTGTTTACTTGGCACTTTTTCTGTTTGCTCTTTCAAATAACTTGTACTATATGGAGACTATCTTTCTTGTCCATTGGTCACTGTATCAGCCTGTAGAGCTCAATGCTTGTCTTCTTTTTCTTGCTCAATGAGACTCTTGGTTATAGCTGATAACAATTTGAAAAATTTCTTCTGCAGACCTTTGCTACTCTTAGTCCTATTCCAGGCTACATGCAGTGGCTTCTATCAAAATTGGCATCAGCAGAGATATCTGGTCCTACCTTTAGAGAGAACTTGCTTAAACAAGAAGAAGAGGGGGCACTTGTAGATGCAGCAGTGTAAGCATATGGTTTTACGCTGAAGGGTTGGAATCTTTGCTCATTTCTTTCTTTCTTCCACCCCTGCTCCCATAATATTCTCCAGTAATATTGCATACTCGATCTCTCCTGCCTTGCTCAACACCAAGAAATGGAATGATAGCTACCTGCTCTGCTGGAAATGTGGAATCTCTGTTGCTCCTGAATCACCCAGAGATGGGATGACATAATAGTCTGAACTTCTGGCAAATCTGAGCACTAAAATTTGAATTATGAATTGTTTACCTCAATTTTTTACCAAATCTTTCTTTGTGTCTGATAATCGATTTACATATTTCTCTCCTTTATTAAAACTTTCCTGGTACAGAGAATTCAGTTCCAGCAAAAACGGAATGGAAGTGATGAAGTACTTGTTGACATCAACCAATTATGAGTGGACAAAGTCAGCTAAGATAATTTCGGTTCTAAGACCTCCAATGATGCGACTTTGTGCTCGGTATGGTTTGTTATATTAAGTAATCTCAGTACAACTAGTCTAAAAGACAACATACAACCTCAGATATATATATATATATCAAGGATATTTTTTTTCTCATTCTTGAAGATAAGAGTAAAGATAGACATCCAGGCTATCACATGACAAAGTTAATCTTCATATGTGAAGGTTGTCTTTTTTCAATAGGAATCCCTGTCTGTGAGTGCATCTTATCTGATGATTGTAGGAGAAACGGTTAAAATGTATCTGTTGCTTTTGAAGAATCATTTGGAGTTCTTTCCTATCTAAGTAATAAACTGAAGATGGATCTTCAGTCTCCGGAGTCATTTAGTCATGTGGAGCAAGTTGCCGCTATAAGTGGATATAGGGCATTTTGTTGCTTCTGGGTAATATGTCTTCCTTGAATTAACAATTCCAGGTACCTTCTGCAAGAGAAGAAGAGGGGGAAAGCTCTAGATTCTGTGGCAAACTTCCACTTGCAGAATGGAGCGGTATGTCAAGAACTTACTAAGCTTTCTTTCAAAATTATTAACCTGTTGAGTGTACAATATCACGTAACCTAGTCTGTTATCTCAGAGTATTCGGTCATTTCACCCCATTTGTTGAAAAAATGACTTCAAGCACGTTGTAGATCTGATCTGTTTGCATAAATTCAGAGACTATGTTCGGTCATGTGAAAGAGTTAGTGGTTAAACTATCATGGGGAAGCCCCTGCCAGATAAAATCTGTAATCAGATTTTAATCTTTATAGATGATCGGAAGGCTGAATTGGATGGCTGATCGATCTGAAAAAGGCCTTACTCAGAGTGGAGGGATTATGGTCAACTACATATATAGGTAAAACTTTTCCTCTGGATCAATGATTGCAAGACATGTTTGGTACTTCTTTAGTTCTTTCTCTTTTTTCTATTGGTCGTTTTGATGAGTTGGAAAATACTTCATCTACTTTGGCAATATGCGTTATTTCTAACAATAGGTTCAATTTTGAAAAGAATGTCTACGCAAATTATGTGTAAACACCATCTGACATGAAGTTGAACTGATCTTTTTCAATGGTTTTGCTCATGATAACAATGTTGATTATTGCTGTGAATGACTTTAGTCATTATAAAGAACTGTTTGAAGCCTAGATCAACACCCAAAAATTTTAAATGAAATGCAGGGTGGAGAACATTGAAGAAAATGCTCAGTCATATTACAGCAAAGGGCATATCCACGCTACCTCAGATGTCTCTTGCTTTGTTGAGGTAACTTTTGGTCTTAAATAATGTCCATTGGCATCTAAACCATAGTGGTATTGGATACCCCCAATCTGTACCTACCTATATGCCAATCCAATCCATCCCTGTGAGCATGCAAGTGAGCCATTGAGATGGAAACTGCTGTGTATTGGTCCTCTGTGCTGTTTCCTTTTAGGTAGTTGCTTCCTTCAGTTCTTCAAACAGAAGTATCTGCTGTCAAAGTTATTTTTTACATTTGCAGGATCATGAACAAACTAGAGATTAGGAAGCTGTTGCAGGAGTGGTGTGAAATTTAATGTTCTACCCTTGTAGTACAGGTAATACACGTACCAATTGAGTATATTAAGTGAGGTTTTGATGTTGTACATGCCTGTTTAAATATATTAAGTGAGGTTTTGATGTTGTACATGCTTGTTTAAATTCGAGTTCTTTTGATGATACAACAATATATACCATTACATTCTACGGCTTCCAAGCGCAGGCAGCTTCAGAAGGATAATTAATTTTCACTTTCTACATGGCTGGTTTCTCGGACATAATCCCTCATTAGTCTTGTATTAGATTCATTAACCACCTGCAGATTTACCAACACATACATTTGCACTAAGTGAAGCAGGAAAAAGTGATTTCAAATATCAAAATTAGGTGAAAGAAAAGAATTTGACCTTATGGGATAATCGCTTCAAATTGTCCCACTCAAAATCATTCTTGCAATATGCAGATCTAACCTGCATGAAGATCCCATACCATTTATTTAGCATAGTGTGAAAAAGAGTAGCTTAGCAAGTTAAAGAAATACCAAGGAGAGAGAAACCACTAACCTCAAGTATCCGCATCGCTGCAAAGCAGAAGAAAATTTCAGTTTTTTCCAGATTTAATATGCAGGCTGCTGCCGTTAAAACAGACTATGCAATTTACATTGTGATTGTTAACAGCATAGTGGAGCTGTTATGCTACTTATTTCTTTCATTGTTATACACACAGAAAAAAATGTAGCAATTAATTGGTACCTACTCAAGTATTCCATACCATGTAGAATCTTGTCCTTTCATCTGTGATTGCTGTTACCAAATGATCAGTGCATAAATGCATGGTACACTTGTTGTAATAGTTGTTTTGTTTAAAAAGATTTATGTTGATCTAAAACTTGCGAATTTTGTACTATATGATTTCAGGCTGAGTGAAATGTAAGTACATATATACCTAGATTTTTATGCCTTGGTGATTCCCGCATTAAGTTGGCGCAAAACTTATCCCCATCATTCACTGAGTGTCTGCCCAAGAATTCCATCAACTCCTCGTATGCCTCGGGGTTGTAGCTCTGCTCTGTCAAGTGACTGTTAAAAAACAAGAAAATGGCATAGATATATTTTTATGGATGTATGTCTATACCCTAATCTGTAGCTTCATTAGATACAGTGAGCTTCAAAGTTCTGTACTGATTTGATGTAGCCAACCGTCTGATACTATACTCAATAGAACAATAAAAGTGGAGATAATGATTCTGTGAAAAGAAGAGAACCTGCAACTGAGCAGTGACAATTCGAACAGCAATGTATGTGAAGAAATTATGGAGGTGCTTCGCTGCTTTTGCTTCTGGTGATCCTTCTCCGAACCCTGCACCACTCTTCTTTAATATTCACAGGCAGATCCATAGGTACACTTGCTAGAAACTTTTACAAGAGGGTGACTACCCACCTGGAACATACATCTTTTGACAATGGAAGCGAGTTGGCTGAGAAGTTCTTTGCTTCCATGGCCTGAAGGGACAGGCTCTGGTTTCCCTGCAAGCTTGTGTTGGAGAAACTGCGAGCCTTGAGAGGGGGACGGTGGCGAAGGATTCCATAATATGGCTCATCTTAACTGTACTGTGTAATCTGTGGCAACTGCCAGTGAGAATTGAAGGAAAAGAGCAGAAGTAGATGTTTTTGTCCAATGACTAGCAAGCGGCAAGACACCTTGAGAAGCCTTTAGTGAAGAGATAATAATAATATCTTTACTTCCATGTTGAAATATCTTCAGGTATATGTGGCAAGAAGCCTGAAATTTTGTCATGGATCATTTGTCCATCTTTAAGGGTGGATCCCACCCATTCTATTGTCTCTTTTATACGTATGTGTATGCATCTGGCCCTCGTATTATTGAATAACCAAGTCTGGAATATTCCTACTTCCTCTGTAAGTGTGAGAAGTTTGAAGAACAGGTAAAAGGATAGATATATATTTGTAAAGTAGGAAAATATTAACGCTCTTATTGTTCAATTCTCTATTTCCCTTTTCTTCTCGGGCGGCATTACGTTTCAACATTAGAATCCGAGGGCATCTAGTAAAGGAAGTATCTGAAGGATAAACTGCGGAATTTGGCAAAACTAGCGAATGTGCATTCCACCATTTGGTCATCAATTGGGACTGCAAAAACTTCAATCTTTGTCAAACTCGGATGGATGAAGAATTATCAGCTTACCAGTTAAGGATCAATAGCATGGTTCACGTTGGCGGGTCAATATCTTTCCTTTTTTTTTTAATATGAAATAAAAGAAATTGCTCATTTCGAATTCTCAGAATAATAATTTCATTTTTGGACTTGCTGCTTACACAAGTATAAAAAGTTGATCACTATACTATGCTCACAAAGTACCGATTCGAGTGATTTTCCCAAATCTGAAATCTAACCAAAGTTTTAAATATTTATCATGCAATTTTGGGGAGTTCTGCAGTCCCTTTAAGGTACCGTACCGATGAGATTAAATTCACCGTTGAATATAGAATAAGAGTTACCGATCCTTAAATTATTTCAGGAGTTCAAATTACTAAATAATGTGGTAAGATATAAGTCGATTAAAATCATGGATACCGTATCCAAAAGGGATTGTAGCAGTTTCGGCAAACTTTAGCTGGATTTAAGTCTGAAATGAAAAGCAGCTCCCTTCACTGACATCCCTTCAATGAAATGAAAAGCAGCTCCCAGGCTGCTTAAGCTCTTTATTTATACTAAAAAAACTGTACATATTTGTTAGTCTTGCAGTTTAAAATTGAGATGAGAAAGAAATGGAATGGAATCCTTTGTGCACTTTCACTTTCCTAACTATACAAGTTGTCTTATTGAAACAATAGGTTTGATAGGGCACAAACTTGATTTACTAAAAAACTGCTTATATTAAATGGCTTCTCTGTTCTTTCAGAAATGCAGAAAGAAAATCTAATATAATTGGTCGAAATCTTGGACTTTATATTCCTCCTCCTTTTCTTAAAGTTAGCGAGAAGAACGTCGCACACTGAGCAAACGTTTTAGCACAAAATCTGCACCAAAACGACAAGCATCTTTGTGCTGGTGTTTCTGCCAGCTTCTTAAATTTCTCTAGCCTGCAGCAGCTGACACCATAATCTCAAGAATTATTCAACTGGTCCTTCATCCGGGCTATAAAAGCTAGAAGAGTATCTCAAATTGTTCATTATATTACATTTTGATGCTTGTTTATTGCTGATAAAGTCAAGAATAGCTCTCAATTCAAGAATCATATATAAAAAGATGGAGACAAAATTAGATTAAGTACGGGCTATTATGGCCCCTCAAGGCTTCTAATTTTCTTAATTAAATGAGCAAGGAAAACCAGACAAACAATACAAGACGGCTATATGAAGTAAAGATGACGAAATGACTTGAACAACTATCTCTCTTCTAGTTTGTTTAATGGCATCCTAAATCATTATAATTCGTCTCTCCTCTTCCCTTTTTCTTGCTATATATTTCACACAAACAAGTGATGAAAATAATGGCATCAAAAAGGAAGAGGCTAATTCTATTGCTGAGCTCTTGTTTAGTACTTGTGTTGTTATGTTTTAGCGTTGAGGCCAAGTGTAGAAGTGGCTGTGACCTTGCTTTGGCTTCATACTACATTTGGGAAGGATCAAATCTCACATACATTAGCTCCATCTTCAATCAAACAATCCCAGAAATTCTTCGACAAAATCCTCATGTTCCAAATCAAGACAGCATCCACAGCGGTACGAGAATCAACATTCCATTCTCATGTGAGTGCTTGACTGGTGATTTTTTGGGACATAACTTTGAGTATCTGACTCAGGGTGGCGATACATATGAGAAGATTGCAAGAATAGCTTTTGCTAATCTGACAAATGGGAACTGGATTCAAGTGGTGAACATATATGACCCTACTAGGCTGCCAAATTCCGTTTTCATCAATGTAACAGTGAATTGCTCTTGCGGGGACAGCAGAGTATCGGAGGATTATGGATTGTTTGAAACATACCCTTTACGTCCTGGTGAGAATCTGTCATCTGTGGCAAATGCATCAGGGGCTCCAGCTGAGTTGCTGCAAAGGTTCAATCCAGGATCTAACTTCAGTGCAGGATCAGGAATAGTGTTTGTGCCGGCAAAAGGTTAGTTTTCTTGCATATATTTAATTAAGAACCTTTCAGCATATCATCGATGAGTGATGAGATTGGTCCACAAGATTAGAAAGTTATACTACTTGCAAAAGAGAAATTCTAATTTAATGGCAGCTTTGAAAAATTCAAAATGTTGGCATGTGGTCTGACAGCCATCTTGTACTATTATGACAACATTTATATGCCTGCAAAATGGACAATAAGAACATATCAAAGTATCTAATTCTTGAAAGAAAGTCACGAGATGCTTTAAAATTGTTCTTTATACACGTTTCTTGGGGCATAAAAATAGAAGTTCGAAGCTGTAATATCCATTTGGCATCATTTTAAAACCTAAGCTCCGGCTGGAACATTTTTAACCTGACTCAATGGATCGACATCCCAGTTTTTCCCCTTCTTCGTTTGCCATATGAAATAGTAGGCATTGCCAAATGCCGATGTGGTACAATTTACTTCTTGCTGCTTATGAACGCCATAATGTTAAACAACAAATCCTCAGTTGTCTGTTGTTTTAGTTCTCTAGCTATTGGCACAAAACCTTTTGGTTATTTACTTTCTTTTTGCATAGTAGTACTTTTTTGTTTCAGTGGTAATACATCTTAATTGTATAGGAAGGTGGGCAAAAAATTCTTTGCTTCGTTGCTTCAGAATAAAAACAAAAATTAGTAAAATCCCACATGCAATATATTAGTTGCTTTGTCTTCACCAATTATTACTGTGGAAATCTTCTATATTTGTCCATGAATTGATACGTCCAATTATTACTGTTGAGCTAAACACTTAGTAACATAAACGTAACAAAGTTAGACAACTAATTAATTAAATCCGTTTTATCAGTATCCATGGGATCAAATTCCAAATACACTGGCAAAATTTTGTGTCATGATTTCTGATGGTTATGATATCAAGCAGCGTATGATTGTTAATGAGATTAGTACTCGGTCAATAAAGTTTTTAGAAGTCAACCACGCAAAGTCCTGATCCTGCAAGTTAATTATTTATTTAAGCTATCGTGATAGAATCATGAAAGTGTCTGTTTAGTTGAAAAATCACTACCAACTTTAACCAAAATACATCAGTAGACTGCACCAGTCAACTACTGGAAAATCAGAATTTACCTCGTTTCTTCTTCTTCTTCTTTTTTTTCCAGAAAATTATCATGTGGGTTCCATTTAGCATCTTTGAATTACCTAGCAAGTCCCCAGATCACAATACAGTAACAAAATTTTGTGGCACTGTCAAGAATTATGGATGTGCAGGGAAAGAGAAGCTTTGAGCTGGTATTAGGCTTTTTAACCGTGATAATCTTACTGGGTAGAGTTGAATCACAGTGCGGTGGAGGATGTGATGCTTTAGCTTCATATTATGCATGGAATGGAACAAATCTTACATTCATATCCACTGTTCTTTCTACCTCTATCAGCCACATTCTTAAATACAATCCTCAAATAACCAATCCGGACATTATTCAATTTGGCAGCAGAATTAGTGTTCCATTCCCATGTGGCTGCTTAAAAGAGGGATTTATGGGGCATCAGTTTATTTATCGGGTCAGGTCTGCTACTTACTATCGAAGGATTGCTCACCTTGTTTATGCAAATCTTACCACGGTTGAGATGTTACAAAGGTTTAATAGTTATCCTCCCGAGAATGTTCCCGCCGCTGCACAGTTGAATGTTACTGTCAATTGTTCTTGCGGGAATAGTAAAGTGTCGAAGGATTATGGTTTATTCATAACCTATCCTCTTCGATCAGGGGAGACTATTTCTTCCCTAGCCAATGAGTTTGATCTTCCTGAGAAATTGTTGGAAGATTACAATCCTAGAGTGAATTTCAGTGGCGGAAGTGGTTTGATTTTTGTCCCAGGAAAAGGTATCTCATTTTCATTTTCTGCAAGAAAATGCTACTGTTCATAAGACCATCATACTAGCTAAAACAGAATTAGTCACTAGCAACAGAAAGAAGCATATTTAAAAGTTGAAAAGGAAAATAGGTACAGATATCAATTTTTTGTCAAAGTTAATTGAAGAAACAGTCGGATTAGCCGGGTGAAGAAAAATTGCATTTTAGAGGTGGTAAAGGTTTCATAATTGATGTACATGATGAGCTAGTAGGAAATGATGAGTAGCTTTTTGTTCTCTAGGAAATTATCAGTGTCAAGTGTCAATTCTGTTGTAAATGATGCCGTTTTACCAGGAAATATGAGAGCCTGATTGCTAGACTCTTCTTGACGTACTGTTTTCTCCCTGATGCAGATCAAAATGGAATTTTTCCACCATTAAAGTCAAGGTAGCTTATACTACTAAACTTTGATTTGTTGGAACCATCTTTAATGTCCCTTTCACTTCTAATATCCTTTTTTTCTCCTGCAGCTCAAGTGGTTAGTTCCTTTATCGTCAATGGCAACCAAATGTGGCTTGGCACAATTTTTTTGAGTTCAACCATGGCGTTTAGGCAATGATTATTTAAGATCAATTGATAAGTGCCATTTTGAACAGGAATCTCAGGTGGAGCTATTGCTGGAATTACAATTGCAGTACTTGCTGGAGCTATTTTCTTGGCCGTCTGCTTGTATGCAATATTCTATAGACAAAGGAGAATATCAGAAGGATTTCCTAAAGCAGAACCCCATGAACTAAATGATGAGCATGTGCATGGTAGCCTTTTTTTTCCATTCTCGGTATAGTATATAGATTACATTTTCCATTTAAGCATGATGTAGGATATGAAGTGTCCATTGTTTTAGTTTCCCTGTTCT